AATTTCTTTGCTCTGGAATAATTTATATAAGATTATTGTTATTTCTTCATTAAATGTTCGGGAGAATTCAAATAGTGACTGTTTGGAGAGATTTCTTTTTGAAAAAGTTTTAAGTTACAGATTTAATTTCCTTGATATATAGGACTATTCAGTATTTCTATTTATTCTTGTATCAGTTTAGTAATATGTGTTGTTTTTGGAGTTTTCTATTTCATCTAAATTTTCAAATTTACTAGCATGATTTTTTCATAATACTCTCTTATTTTTTAATACATGTAGAATCACTGTGTTTCAATTTTTATTAATTTTCTCTATTACGTATTTTTAAAAATTCAGTGATATCTACATTTATCTTCTCAATTATACTAGTATACTTCCCTCTTATCTCTGTGTGTTTGATTTGCTGTTAATTTTGTAGCTTAATCATATGGACTCAGTTCACTGATCTTTAGCTTTTCTTCTTTTCTAATTTAGTTGCATCCCACCACTTTAGCTGTCATATGTTCATTATTATTTAGTACAAAATATTTTCTATATTTTTGTTTACTTCTTTTTGTATTCTCTTTTTAAATCATATATAGTTTTTATTGTGATTTCTTCTTTGACCCATAGATCTTTTAAGAAGTTTTTTGCTTAAGTGTCAAGGCAGGCATTTTTCTAGTTTTTTATTATTTATGTCTAGCTTTGTAAGTTTAAAAACACATAAAATAGTATTTAAAAATCTATCTCTGATAACTCCAATAATAAGTCATCTGTGGGTTTGTTTTTACTGTCATTGTCAGATAATTATTGAGTCAGACAATTTTAATTCATCAGGGACTGACTGAGCTGTCTAAGACGTCTTGAAGTTTTCTACTATTGGTTTGCCTACACTGCAGCCAGCCAAGCGTCCAAAGGAGAATCTAGGGTTTTGCTATCACATCTCTCCCGTGGAGGATCCAGAACTCCAGGTTTTGTCTCTTCAGCACTGTGAGATTACAGAAAACTTTTCCTCGTTTTCAGTAGCTTTTTGCCTACCTTCTAGTCCCTCTCATAAAAAGAAGTTGCAGAAAGTTAGTTCCCTTAAAATTCTACTCTCCCCAGATCTTGACCACACAGCTCTGGTCATCTTGACCATTTTCTGATGTCATCACAAATGCTTTTAAAAAAAATTTTTTTTATCTGGCTCTTCTAGGTGTTTTATGCTAGTGTGCCATGAGCTACTCCATGAGAATCAGAAGCAGGAATCTACTGCTTCCATTCTTGACTCTTTGTAATCCATTCCACACATAGCACAGGAGATGTGGTAAATATACACAATGGAATATTATTCAGCCATAAGAAGAAAACAAACCTACCATTTGCAACAGCATGGATGGAGCTAGAGGGTATTATGCTGAGTAAAATAAGCCAGGCAGAGAAAGACAAGCACCAAATGATTTCACTCATATGTGGAGTATAAGAACAAAGAAATTTTGTGATGACTGCCCTTTTACTGTTCACCATGTAAGAACTTATTCACTATGTAAGAATTTGTTCACCGTGTAAGAACTTGTTCATTATGCTTCAGAAGATTGGAGACTGATGAGAATTAGGCTGGGGGTGGATTAATGATTGTGCATTGAGCATTGACTCCCCTATACAGAATTTTATTGTTGTTAACAACCATTTGATAAATAAATATGAGATGCCCTCTCAAAAAAAAAATAGATATGATCATGGAATAAAAAAAAAAGAACAAAGAAAACTGAAGGAATGAAATAGCAGCAGAATCACAGAACCCAAGAAAGCACAGGAACATTTTTATAAAATTTTAATCAGAGCATAATGCTTCCCTCATCCAGTGGCTTTTTATCACATTTAAATTAAAATCCCAACCACTTTCCATCTTTCTATGACCAAGAAAATGCCAGTCCTTGCTTCTCACCCCAACTTCACCTTATCCTCACCCCATTCCTCACATATATACTCCTTTTCTCCCTCCACAGTGACATTCCTGCTGTTGTTTAAACCTGTCAAACTCATTACACTCAGGCCTTCACGCTAGTTGCTTCCTCTGTCTGCAGTGCATGTCTAACCAGGTCTTGTGTGTCGGCTGCTCAGTTCATGTGGCAGTAACTCCAAAAGGCCTTCCTGGACCACTGCTGTCTAAGGTAGCTTCTCCCCATCATGCATATCATATCACATACAATGTGATGGTTCCTTCATGTTACTTATCTGCCATTGAAATTATTTTGTTAGTTTATTTTGTTCCGTTTTCTCAGGTTAGAACATAAGTCCCAGGAGGCAAGGCTTTGTCTGTCTAATATTCTAATCTTATGACCAGACTCCAGGCTGATAACGCCCATGTGTAGGGATTAATTCACCCACCTTTGAGGGCAGAGACAGAGAGAATGGGGTGGAGGCTGACAAACGTCATGGTCCCAGGCTGATTTTTATGTGTGCTAAATCCATTTGATGTTTTTCAGAATTTGCTTTCAGGAATTCCCTGGTTGATTTAGTAGTATAAATGTATGCTCTGTGGATAAGTAATCCAAGACTCTTTAGTTGCTGCTGTTTCTATTTAACTTCTCTGTGTAGCTTTAATCTTGTAAGTGCTCATTATGTCTATTCAGGAAAGTAAACAGAACTGAAAATCAAAGACAGTGTTCTCTGGGTGAAGATAGTTTTTAATTACAGTAATAGTAAAGAAGAGGAGATAGATCAATCAATGTGGAAGTCTCCTTTGAAATCTTTAAGGCAACATTAATCATAGAAACAAATTTATCATTTAAAACCACACATGAAAGGATATTCTTGCTCTTAAATGCAGCAACTTCAATGATTTCTCATTGAATGTTCTTTGTAAGTCAGTAAATACAGAAAGTAGGACAGCTGGAAGTTTAAAGACTTGCATGAATCCTGCAGGAGCAGGGACTCTTCTTTTCTCTGAACAAGGGGCAATGTGAGACCCAGAAGCCAAGGTTAGCTTTTCTTTGTAAGGAATAAGGGAACCATGCCTGATGTGTGCAACCTGAGTATGCCCAGCCCAGTCACCATCTCTTGACTGTGCATTCCGCAAGCTCCAACTACATGACATTTCTTAACAGTTCCCTGAGTTTGGGGTGCCTTGGTATCTTTGCACATTAGTTCCTTCTACCTGGAATGCCCACCCTCCCCAGTATATAGCATCAACCATCCAGACCCAAGTCAAATAGCACGCCATGTGTGAAGCCTTTCCTCAGCGTTCTGTAGCAATCTGTTTACACCTTAAGACATTTATTTCATTGTATAGTTTCCTCCCACCAGCCTGAGAAGTCTTACCTATCAATCATTTTTGTGTTCTTCCTACTCTATTTCTACCACTGAGTAGATACTCAGTATAACATTCTTAAATGGTTAAATGTTCAGCGAGAGGACCTTCACCTTCTTTTTCCCATTGAACCACGGCACATTGGATAGGATGGAGGAGGTCAAGAGCAGAGGCGTAGTGAGGGCTTGCCAGTATCCTTCCAGAGCAAAATAAATCTTAAACTAAAGATTCAGAAACAATTTTGGGACTTAAAGTGTATTCTAGTTGACATTTTAAATCAAGAAACATTCTGGTGGTGCTGGATTTTATACACGTTCTTTGAGACTTATAATATCTTTATGACTGAACGTCTTAGAACAAGTTGCTCTAAAGTTCTTCAGAAGAGAGAAGTCCTTTTTTCGCATGTACTATATATTCCCGTGGCATCTTATATTATCTCCAGGAATGCAGTGAGGAGTCTAGATAGTAGCCAGACTGAAGGAACATACACTTTAAGATTCATTAATCATGTTAACACTACTATAAGTGTTTCAGATCTGTTGATCTACAAAGTAGTAGGGAGTTTAAGTACAACTCCATTTCCCTTTTGTCCATTCAAAAGCTCTAACATTGCTCTTCTGTAAAGCCTGGGTCAGGGTTAATTAAGTCTAGGAAATAGGTGGTATAACTTAAGACAAAAAGTAAAAGATTTATCCCCAAATATTTAATTACAGTTTCTTGTCAAGGATGCTTGTCAAGCTCTATATCAGAGATGATCTACTTTGAATGGTAAAGGAAGGAACCCTGTGCAAAGCAAGCTCCTTGGGCAGGAGTGGCACATTTCTATCAGCAACAGCCTGAGGGAGAGGCTCTAGGCCCAGACTGAGGATAACCGATTTCTCAAATTCAGACAAGTAACTGGTCAAGCTGGGATTTGAACTGAGGTCTGTGTGACTTCTTAAAAGCTGCACTTTTAACTCCTATGTCATACATACTGTGGCCACTCTCACACCCTAAGCCTCTCTGTTCTGAGGTAGACACAGTTTGCAGGTTACATACCCTCAAGCTAAAGAGTGACCATACCCCCAAATCAGCTGCGACAACTTTCTATTAGTTCCCAAGGAGAGGACTTAGTCACTGTGAGGCCCAGAGTGACACTTGACTTTGCTAAGGAACCTCCAAGATCCTTGCTGGCCTTCATTAGACAAAACAAACCATTCAATACTCTAGCAAGTTGCCGAGCACCATGCAAACTAGGAAGATGGGGTGAACAGTTAGGCTTCATGGCTGTTAGAAATCAGAAAATATACAACCCCTTCTAGGGCTTATTTAGTTACCTGTTCCAGGAACCTGACAGTTTTAGAATCTCTGGAACTGGCCCAGAGGGACACATTTAAAATTGGGCACTCTTGCTTAAGGAGCCCACGTGTGGTCAGAGTGTGAGCATGCACAGATCAAAATGCTTCAGTTCCTTCTCCCACACAAAAGCAGAGGGCATGGCTGCCCTGCTTTCAGATGCAGGCTCTGAATCAGATGGAGAGGCTCTTCTGTTCCCTAGTGTTGCTTTGAGGGACTTGATCAAGATCCCTAAAAGCTGCAACCCAGAGAGAACATGGTTCCCTCCTAAGACCAAGAGAACCATGAGCTTAGTAGCAGAGTGTGAGATCCCAAGGAAGGAGGGAAGCGCACACGGGCTACTTCAGGGTCACGCTTGGGCACTTAGGCCCCTCTTCAGGGCCATGGCACTCACCTCGGCCTGCCAGATGGGGTTCACGGTGTTGCCCACGATCTTGGATCTCCTCTCCTGCCCATGGTGGGGGAGGGCAGGGAAGATGCTGTGTTTCCCAGGCTGAATGGAAATCTTCAGGTAAGGATCTGGGTTGAAGAACATCCCTTTCTTTAACCCCATGGCCTGGAAATCTACAAAATAAGGAATATGTTCATTTAAATGTGTTTTAGTAGTGTTAAATGTCATATGAGACCTTATTCAAGGAGAAAAGTCCATGGAAAAATCTGTTGAATCTTTAGACTATTTTCCATCTCATTACAAATATGCACTGAGATGTCTACAGAACCCACTATATGGAACATCAACTGCCACATATTAAGTTGTTTTGGTGATAAATCCTTGTGATAAATCAATACAACTGGCATTGTGGACACTATGCTTTGCAAGTGTGCTGGCCCTTCCTGGACTCAACTTCTAGTGCTCCCCGAGCAGACTGGAGGCTCAACTTGAAAATTCTTCCCAGCCTCAAGCTGCTGACTTGCATGGCATCGGACTTCAGGATTTCACAGAGCTTTGGTGAATAAAATTGCTCTTGGTTTCTGGCAAGTAGTTTTCCCAGTTTCTGTTGTGTCTGGAGGTTTGTACAAATAATTGTTTCTCAAGCATTTCAACAGGGACACAAGAACGGCAAGTCGGGGTTGTTAGCTTTCTGCCCTAGTAATACGAAAGTATTGAGTTTTCTCTTCTTATCCACTTTTTTAGCCTTATACACATGCTAATATTGTCAATGGAGCTTTTTATTCTTAAAAAAAAAGGACAATATTTTTAGAGAAATTGTAAGTTCACAGCAAAATTAAGAGTAGAGATTTTCTTTAACACCCCATTCCCCACACATGCATAGCCCTCCCCATTATCAACATACCCTACCCGAGTATACATTTGTTATAATTACTGAATCTACATTGAGACATCGTTATCATCTAAAGTCCATAGTTTACACTTGAGTTCACTGCTGGTGTTGTATATTCAGTGGGTTTTGACAAATGAATAGTAACATGTATCCATCCTTAATAATATCATACACAGTATTTTCACTGCCCTAAAAACCCTCTGGGCTTTGCCTGTCTCTCTCTCCTGCCCTTGTACTCTAGCAACCACTGATCTTTTTACTGACTTTATGGTTTTACCCATTCCATAATGTCATAATTAGAATCATATAGCATGTAGCCTTTTCAGATTAACTTTTTTTTTACTTAGTAATATGCATCTAAGATTCCTTCATATCTTTTCATGGTTTGATAGTTCATTTCCTTTAGTAATGAATACTATTCCATTATCTGGATATATGACTCTTTACTTACCCATTCACCTACTGAAGGATATCTTGGTTGCTTTGAAGTTTTGACAGTTATGAAAAAAGCCGCTATAAACATGTGTGCAGGGTTTGGATGGACTTAAATTTTCAGCTCATTTAGGTAAATACCAAGGTGTGCAATCACTGGATCCTATGGTGAGAAAATGTTTAGCTTTGTAACAAACCATCAAACTGTCTTCAAAAGTGGATGTGCAATTTGGCATTCCTACCAGCAATGAATGAGAGTTATTTCTGTTCTGCCTTCTTGACAGCATTTGTTGTTGACAGAGTTCTGGGATTTTGGCCATTCTAATACATGTGTAGTGGTATCTCATTGTTTTAATTTGCATTTCCTAGTGACACATGACGTGGAGCATCTTTTCATACGATTGTTTGCAATCTGTGTAACTTCTGTAGTGAGGTGGCTGTTAAGGTCTTTGGCTCATAGTTTCTAATTGAATTGTTTGGTTTCTTATTGTTGAGCTTTCAGAGCTCTTTGTATATTCTGAGTAACAGTCCTTTATCAGAAGTGTCTTTTGCAAACATTTCCTCTCAGGCCGTGACTTTTCTTTTCATTCTCTTGACATTGTATTTTACAGGGCAGAAGTGTTGAATTCTAGTGAATTCCATGTTATCAGTTATTTTTTTCATGTATCATGACTTTGGTGTGGACCTAAGAGGCATCACCATACCCAAGGTCATCTAGGTTTCCCCCCTTATCTTCTAGGAGTTTTACAGTTTTGCATTTTACAGTTAGGTCTGTGATACATTTTGAGTTAATGTTTTACACTGAGTTATAGTTGACATATAACATTAAAATAGTTTGAAGCATACAGCACAATTATTTGATATTTGTATATATTGAGAAACGATCACCACTAATTTTAGTTAACATTCATCACCACACATTGTTACAATTTTTTTCTTTTAGTAAGAACTTTTAAAATCTACTTTCTTAGCAACTTTCAAATAGATGATACAATAGTATTGACTGTGGTCACCATGCTGTCCATTACATCCACATGGCATTTATTTTATAACTGGAAGTATGTAATTTCCACCACCTCCACCCATTTCACCCACTCTCTACCCCTGACCTGGTAACTACCAATTTGTTCTCTGTATTTAGAAGCTTTATTTTTCTTTTTTGAATTCCACATATTAGTGAAATCATATGGTATTTGTCTTTGTATTTTACTTAACATAATGCCCTCAAGGGCCATCCATGTTGTCACAAATGGCAACAAGATTTCCCTTCTTTTTCATGGCTGAATAGTATTTTTATTATATACACACACACACACCACATTTTCTTTATCCATTCACCCATCAATGGAACCTTAGGTTGCATCCATGTATTGGCTATTATAAATAATGCTGCAGTGAACAAGGGATGCATATATCTTTTCAAGTTAGTATTTTTATTTTCCTTGGATAAATACTGAGATATGGAATTGATATATCATATGGTAGTTCTATTTTTAATTTTTGAGGCCCTTCCATACTGTTTTCCATAGTGGCTCTACCAATTTCCCTGCAAGCAGTGCACAAGGGTTCCCTTTTTACCCACATTCTCATCAGCATTTGCTGTTTCTTTTCTTTTTGATAAAAGCCATTATAACAGGTGTGAGAGGATATTTCATTGTGGTTTTGATTTGCATTTCCCTGAAGATTAGTGATGTTGAGCACCTTTTCACATACCTGTTGGCCATCTGTATATCTATTTTGGAAGAATGTCTATTCAGATTCTCTGTTCATTTTTTAATCACATTGTTCATTTTTTATGGTTATTGAGTTGTATGAGTTCTTAATATATTCTGGCTACTAACCTCTTACTGGAGATATGATTTGCAAACATTTTCTCTCACTCCATAGGTTGCCTTTGTATTTTGTTGATTGTTTCCTTTGCTGTGCAGAAGCGTTTTAGTTTCATTTAGTCCTAGTAATTTATTTTTCTTTTGTTGCCTTTGTTTTTGGTGTCAAATCTAAAAAATTGTCACTAAGACTGATGTCAAGGAGTTTATCACTCATGTTTTCTTCTAGGAGTCTTATGGTTTAAGTCTTACGTTCAAGTCTGTAATCCATTTTAAATTAATTTTTGTATATGGTGTAAGATTATGTTCTAGTTTCATTCTTTGGTATGTGGCTGTCCAGCTTTCCCAAGACCATTTATTAGAAAGACTGTCCTTTTACCAATATATATTCTTGGTTCCTTTGTTATAAATTAATTGACCATAAAAGTGTGGGTTTATTTCTGGGTTCTTTATTATGTTGCACTAATATACATATCTATTTTTATGCCAATACCATCCTATTGTGGTTACTACAGTTTTATAATATAGTTTGAAATCAGGAAGCATGATGTTTCCCTCATTTTGTTCTTCCTTCTTAAGATTGCTTATTATTAGGACTATTTAGGGTCTTTAGTGGTTCCACACAAATTTTAGGATTGTTTGTTCTATTTCTGTGAAAAATGCCACTGGAATTTTGATAGATATTGAATTGAATCTGTAGATTGCTTTGGATAGTATGGACATTTTAGCTATTTTAATTCTTCCAACCTATAGACACAGAATATCTTTCCATTTATGTGTGCTGTCTTCAATTTCTTTCAGGTCCTACAGTTTTCAGTGTACAGGTCCTTCATCTCCTTGGTTATATTTATTTTTAGGAATTTTATTCTTTTTGATGCAAAAGCAAATGTGATGTGTTCTTAATTTTTCTTTTTGATAGTTCATTATTAGTGTGTAGAAACAATAAATTTTGTATGATTTTTGTATACTGTAGCTTTACTGAATTCCTTTATTCTAAATTTCTGGTTGATTGAATTAATTTTGTGAAGGGTATAAATTCTTCATACATATTTTTTTTTTTGCATGTAGATGTCCAATAGTTCTTGCTGCTGTCCATTTGTTGAAAGACTATCTTTGCTTGATTGTATTGACATTTCTCCTTTGTCAATAACCTGTTGACTAAACTTATATAGGTCTGTTTCTGGGCTGTTTATTCTGTTCCATTGACCTAGCTGTTTATTCCTTCACTGATACCTTCCTGTGCCAATTACCATAGCTGTAGTTAACTCTTGAAGTTAGGTAATGTCAGTTTTTCAATTTTGATCTTCTCCTTCAATATTGTATTGGTTATTCTGGGTATTTTGCCTCTCTATATAAATTTTGGAATCAGTTTGTCAATATTAACAAATGACTTGATGGGATTTTAATTGGGATTGTATTACTTCCATAAACCAAGTTCAGAAAAACTGACATCTTGACCATGCCTTGTTATCCATGAACATAGAATATGTCTCCATGTATTTATTTCTTCTTTGATTTCATTTTTCAGTCTTACAGTTTTCCTCATATACATCTTGTACATATTTTGTTGGGTTTTACCTAGTTATTTTATTTGTTCGGTGCTAATATAAATGGTATTGTGTAGTTCATTTCAATATACATTTGATTTGTTCATTGCTGGTATATAGGAAAGCTACTGACTTTTTTGTATATCAACCATGTATCCTAAAACTTAGCTAAAATCTCTTATCAATGGAGCTGTAGACACACATTTGCTTTGCTGGGCCTCATGTAGACATGAAAAGCCCCAGGTGATGGTTCATCTTCCCAGGACACTCAGGCACTTTGCTTCTGTGATCTTGAATCTCTGACACTGATGGCCTGCAACATTTGTTGGTTTGACAAAAAACTGAGGCAGAAGTTTTCAAACTCTGCTCAGTGGCGTCATAGAGCATCATTGCATCTCCTCAAAGACTACTTCCAGGGTGGTACTGCATATGTGGGCCTCTCAGCTTTGTATATCATTCTAGGCAGAGCAACCCAGTTTTTCTTTATACTTTAAATTTTGAAATTATTTTAGATTGACAGGAGTTGCAAAGATACAAAGATTCCCATATGCCTTTTATCCAGTTTGTCCCCATTGTTAACATGTACATGAACCATATACATTATGGAAACTAAAATATTAACTAGGTTCCTGAACTACAAACTATTTATTAAATTACAGCCTTTATTTGGATATCACTGATTCTTCCATGAATGTACATTTTTCAGCAGCTTGGTTTTTGTGTGTTGTACGAATTGAGCTTCATATGAGATTTTATATAGACAAAGGGTCTGCTAGCTGCTTCTCTCCAGTTTTCCCTACCTCCACTTTATAAACTCCAATTAATTCTACCTGGTAATGGAGGAAAAGTAAAACAGTAGCTTTTCTTATCATCTCGAGGTGCATTCCCATCTATTACTTATTGAACCCTCTAATATCCCTATCAGGTCAAGGGAAATGAAGCAGATATTTTTAATTTTGTTTTACAGATGGAGAAACCAGGGCACAGCAATTGAGTAACTTGCTCATGAGATTCAGATTGAAGTGGATCTCATGATTGTCATTTGACCTTCTTGCTTTTTCCACAAGGTCTTCAAATGAGCAAAACATACCTGAGAGAGAAAAGCTGATCAGCCTCCGACTTCCTTGCCCTTGGGAAATCTCATCTGAGCCAATGCTTTTAAAAATCTGTAAGAAGGAAAATGGGAGACGAGCAAAAGAAGCATTGAAATAGATACTCACACCCCAACACAAAAATGCTTAATCACAGTTATTTCTCCAGCTATGGTCTACAAAGATAGCAGCATTGTAAGTTCATTAGGCTGCTATTGAATAAAACAAGCTTGTTGAACCTAATGTCTTTCCCAGTAATAGAGGATCTGCAAGTGGGGAGGAGGAGTACTTTGTAGAGAAATGGAAATTAACAAACACAATTACTGTAATGTTAGAGGTCCTTTGTAACTACTTATGTAAACAATGTCTTTTCACATTCAAATTTGCAAAAAGTATTTATGAAACAGGCCTGAGGGCAGTAGAATGATAGGTCAATAGATGTTTATTGTTGTAATTATAATGTGGTTCCATTTAGCAAAGTATAGTGTTAAACTGCTGTACATCCATTTCTTCTGATCTGTATTATGATCTAGAGATTTCCAGGAAACTGTTTATTAGAAAGGAGCCAGAGCATGGCATTAAGAAGCTATTCTGAGGTCTCTCTTATTTAACTGCCTTCCTGGGAAATTTAGGAACACAACTGTTACACAGTTATCTGCAGTCTAGTAGGTAGTCGCAAACCAGGTTGCTAAAATGCTTTATTTTTCATCATTGCTCAATATATCTGTTAATGTACTAATCAAAACAGCTAGAGTACTTGCTTCCATTCTCTTCTAGGCAAGTTTTACTCAGAAATGATTCTGAATATTCATTCAAAGGCAATTACCTTTTAATACATTGCATATTTGCAGAAAATAATTTTTAAAATCTGAGTATTAAGCAAATCCACACAGTGTCTATCTTTAGAAGATAATCTGTGCTGAAGAAGGACAAAATGCAAAGCTCTGTGGCCTCTAGCTCAAAGTTTCTTTGTAGATGTGTGTGTGAGCTGCTTTTTCTCTTTCCACTGCCTCTCAGTCCTCTTGATGCTGTGAGAGTTGTCACTGGACGCTCCCCTCAACCTGCCTCATATAAGACATGGAGTAATGACTGAGCATCACTAGGGCTCATAGTTTCTGCTCAAGGAGAGTACAAAGGGATTACTAGAATACCTCCTCATGATACGTAAGCAAGGACAGCAATCTAGCCCGGGTGGCTCCCCTGTGTCTCCCCCCTCCTCAACACAAACAACAAAAAAACACTCCCTTGGTTTCCAGCTCTGCTGAGCCCTGGTTTCCAGGGTTCACTCCGTAAACTTACCCCACTTGCCTGCTTGCTTGCTGTGCATGAAGGAATGTTATAGATACGGAAGCAGAAAGATATATATTGCTCCCTTTGCCTTTGTTCGGGGCTCAGACTTTTGGGGAGATTACTCCCCTCTGAGCCCACCGGAGCCTCAACACTCCAAGACCTCCGAGTGCCACTTGGTTTTCCCATCGGCGATCCAGTCCAGGTTTTTTCAGTTATTTCCGTAACACTCCCACTGAATCTGGTGGCCCTGGTGGGCCTTATGTTTTTGGCTACAGCTTGCATGCAAATCTCTCCTCAGCATGTCTGCTCTTAGCGCCAAATAGAGGTGCATTTTGGTGATGCTAGGCTGCTCAGAGAGGAAACCAATGTGGTGGCATATGGAATGGGGCTTGGCATCAAGTGAGATAAGAGACTGGTCTGTGTCTCTAAGATTCATACTTGATGATAAAGAACCAGAGGATGCCGTGGGCAGGATTGGTGAGTCAGAAATGCTAGCCGGTCCAGAAGCATCAGCCTTTACATCGTAAAGGCTCCTCCATCCTGGTCTGGTTTGCTCTTCATATCACCTGGCTGACACAGGGCAAAGGAGGTCAACGAACAGCCCAGAGACAGTGTCCTCAGGCTGGACGACTCTCCTAACTCTTCAAAAAGCAGATGGAGCAGATGGCCAGTAGGCATGGGCGTAATCAGGCCTCAAACTCCCTTAATGTTGTAGACTTTTCTTCTTTTCAAACTTACGCCTGAGGAAGCTGTAGGAGCCTTCCGCAGGCTGATCACTCCCCTTACGGTGCTAAGCCTGCCTACAGGGGACGATTATAGCAGGCTGTTCCTAATTCTAGTTCAACAATATTGATATCTAGCTTGTGTGCTTCTCAGAATAAAAGTTCCTTGAGGACACAACAAAAACTATACTTTTAATAGAGTTTTGCAGAATTACAAGTCGAGTGTGTGCATTCCAGTTTGTATTTTTAAGATGTGTATGATTAACATTTCATGCCAGACTAAAATCAGCTTAAACATACAATGATAACAAAAGATAGTACATTAGTTCCTTCTTATTTAAAGCATACATATTTTGGTTCTTGATACTTAAAATATTCTTCTGCTGACAATTCAGAGTATTTACAAAAGATTCTTCATCTTCTCTGCATCAAAAACAGGTCTTTACACAAACGGGTAATACATATTTTGCAGAAGCTACTAAGCTCAGAGGAGGAGATACATTTAAAACTCCATAAAATTCTTCCTAACTTGTGGCTTTGGCTAAGATTATTTACAAAGTCATCCCAGAACCAGACTGACGATAGGAATATGCAGGCAACAAAAGCCATGATAACCATTTTCCAGGAAGTAAAAATGTTTGCCCGTCTTGAGAGATTTGCATCCTGACTGCTTGTTCAAGATGAGTTCCAGGGGTATGTTGGGGGTTAAAAAATCTGCTGCACTCACAGAAGGATGCACTACTGTTCGCTCACTGTGAAAATGACATGGAGACTCAGCCCAAACAGTCACCCCCTGGAACAATCTGAGGTGGTGGAGCACACTAGCTGATCGTTCCTCCTCCCAGCTCTCCATGTTCCCTTCATTGTATTGTGAAGGAGTGCAGAGGGCATCAAGAGTCAGGAAAAAGAACTAATAACACTTAACCTGACCCTAGAGCAAGAGCAACCCAGTTTTTTGTATAAACTACCCGAGGCTAAGTTTAGAAATGCGCCTGCCCTAAGTTAGATAACTAGAAGTGGGCAACAGCCTGGGGAAGTAACCCGTGATAAGTAAGCAAGAGATAACAATTGAAGCGGTCAGGCAACTGATGCGTTCCCTAAAAGGTTACAATGCTTCCCATTGGTTACAATATAGAATGTGTTTTAAAATTATTGGTTGTAGAAATGCATGGGCTTCGGTGCAACGGCTGTGAGAACCTTATATAATCCATACCTAAAGTTGCCTGGGGGTCGGCTGCTCTGACCCAGCCTGTGTGTCAGGGGAGGTGCTGTTGGCCCCAGCTAGCTGGCTGAATAAAGACTTTGCTTGTACTTACATCTCTGTGCCTGTGTGCTTTGTTCTCTTGGGAAATCCCCGGATTTCTGGACCCTAACAGTATCTGATGCCTCATTGTTATTCTCACTATTAGGGGCTCGGTCCTGATGCTCCCCATCCCCCATGCAGTCCGGGCAGTTCCACAGTTTTGCACACAAATGTTTCCACAATGAAACCTTCTTGGCAAATAGATTCAAAGCCCAATCTGTTGGTGATGTGCAGAAGATTCTGTAGGATGCTGAGGCCCTTGGAGTTGAACTGAGGGCTCTAGAGTGAATTCAGACACCTTTCTTCTACTCCCATTCTCATTCCCTTTCTCCATCTGTTTTTTGAAAAGTTGTAAGTATGAATTCACACCACGGTCGCATACCCCCAAAATGCAATCCAGCAAGAAACAGAGTGAACATCAGGACATTTTAGTCTTATGGGGGACCTTCTGTTTCAGCAGTATGGAGACATGTGGCTTAGTTGAGTGAGTTTTCTCTGCCATAGCTCTCCACCATGTTACTCAAATTCTTTCCTTCCACAGTATCACCATGTGAAGTTAAGGCTGTTTGCTGAAAACACACAAATGTCTCAATCACATGGTCATTTGTGCATGTTGATCTACATCCTTGTCTTGCCAATGGGTTTCAGTCCCAGACAAGTTCACTATAGATTCAATAAGACTTAGAAAATGACAGTGGAATGTTCTTGGGGTGAAAGGTTTTATACCCAACTTTATTCCCATGGTGCCAGGTCAATCACTAGAATCCTGGCCACTCAGAGCAAGACTGCATGCAGCAAGCCAGTCTCTGCCTCTGCGGGTCTCTACCCACAGCCTTTAATCTCTATGCTCCACTCTGCCACCACTCCAGTCTCTGCTCTCCTGCAGCCTTGCAGCCCAGAGACCTGGGTGAAGCTTTGTATATAGAGTCAGTAATAATGTAATGCCCACACGTGTGGTAAGCAAGCTGACCAGGGCCAGGTGAGCATCCTGGCCATAGGAACTTTCACTTTCTTCACAGTCCTTCATCTTCTGTTCTCCAAGGATGCAGGCTTCTCAGGCAAGTGCACTGTCATTCCCAGAGCCTGGCAGGTGCACCCTGGAGCAAGGGTGCCTATCCTGGGGCATCAGTTTTACCCAAAATTTTGGGTAAAACTTAAACATGAAGAGATTTAAAGTTGAATGCAAATTTGCAAATATTTAGAAGATAAAACAGGACTTTTCAAAGAACTCTCTTGCATGTGAAAGGCCACACTGAGTAGCTTCTCTGAATGTTCCACACCCATGTTTACTTCCTTGGGTAAAAGCTGGAGAAGCTCCTGTAGCATACATGGCATTTCCAACAGGGCTGTGGCCACATTTTCCTTGATTCTGACATGTTAGTTCCATTTACATTCCCACAATTACTCCCAAATAATTACAGAATGGCTTTTTCCCCCTAAAAATGCTGACAGGGTTTATGTTTAGTAACAGAGCAATTAAATCAATAATGATGCAGGAGATTGAAATTCATCAGTTCACTGAGCCTTTATCTATCCACCCCACTCAGATAATTCTGATTTTCCTATAAATGAAAATGATTGATAATTTGAGATTATGTGCATAGGAGCATTACAATGTAAATAATAAAATATCCAAGCCGTGGCCTACCTGCATCCAGAGCAGAGGATTATGGGTTCCATTTTAGACCAGAGATCAGTGGTTCTCACACTGTTCAATATCTTTTGTCCCTGAGAGGAAGTCTCTTAAATAATCTGACATG